CATTACCAGCGCTTAGATTCTTCTAGTGCTACAATTGCTTTCGTGATTGTGTTTGCAGGTAGCAGTGATAGAAAGAGCCAGTCATCTGTCCCCTCTCGCTCGATCCCAATCATCAGTTGCTGGTTTGCACTCCAAAATGCTCTAACACCCCTCGTGTCTTCGCTAGATAGGGTTGCTTCGAGTTGGTTGATGAGCTCGTCGGCATTGTCGACTATCTTGCCGAGCAGTCTAAGAGCCAAGCCTTTGTGGCAACGAAGGGAGTTAGGGTGTTTTTTCTTGATGTCTTGACTTATCATCGGTTCTTTGGGAGTGAAATCATTCTTGCGTCCCATTGCATTCTGGGATTCACGGCTGCCTACCGTGCCAAGCCGTGTTTGCTGCTGTTGGCAGATCTCTTGGAAAACTTCGTTGTTTTGTTCTTCACATATCGTTCTGAACCTCTCGATCTTAGTTCGCAATTCTCGTTGTAATGTAGCTTCCGTAGGTACTCCAGTCGCTGGTCTTTGCTGTGATGCTTCCCTAAGTTTAGTCCGCAAGTTGCGGATCGATCTCTTCAAATCCATTTGTTCTTTGTTCGCGTGTCGCCTCCCTCCCTTTCTGATTTTCACCTCCTTTAGTGGTAGAGAGTTGGCGAGCATCTCACAAATGTTACATTCTTGCGCCTTAGCTCGCATGTCTCGTATGTTTGCATCTAGTTGTTGCGCCCATTCGATCTTCTCCTCCTCCCACGTATCGCGATCCAGCACCCATCTGCTTTTAGGGGTTTCCCCCTTCTTCTGTCGTGAATTCATCTGATGCACTTCCACTCGTGGGATTAGCTGCGTCTCCTCGGATGTGAACTTGGTGTGCACTTGCACCACCAGGGCTCTGTGATCAACTGCTCCCCCTATCACACAGCCGTCGACCGTCCACGATTGAAGGGAGATGTTGGGGAAGTTGTCCTCATTAGTTGGGGGGTGGATAGCGAGGACTGCGTCGAGTTTGGCTTCTATCAATTCTTGTTTGTACCATGTTGAGAAGGTAAATGTTGTCCCAGTCTCGCTGATCTGTTCATATGAGAGTGTACGGTGTGCGGAAAGGTCTGCCAGGAATTTCTCGAATCTCTCATCTGCTTTTGCGGTGATAGATGAGGGGGAATATCCTCTCCGCATTGGTGTTGTTGTGTTGGTTCTTGCTGCATTAAAGTCTCCGGCTATGATGTGTGTCTCTCTCGTTCCCAGAGCGAGGTGTAGCATTTTCCGCCGGTACCTGATGGAGGTTCGTGACTACGAAAGAATTTTTCCCTGTTCCGACTTTGATCGAAAACACTCGGTTTCGATATTTCTTTTCTTTGTTGCACGCCTGAGCGGCATGGGAAGGGGAAGGCGAGAGGGAAGCGTGGACCAGCGTTACCAACCTCAGGTCTCCTTTCCCCTTCTTGGCATTGATCTTTGCAGGCCCCAGGAAGATTCTGTAGCAGGCCCAGTTCTCCTTGATCATCTTCCTTAATTTGTTCTCGTCGCGGGCCGAGACCCTTACCTCTTGTAGTAGCACAACCCCAGGTTGGAAGGACTGGATTAAGTATGCGAGGATGTGCTTGAGAACAAAGTGATTGCAACCATTCACATTTTGTGAGATGAGGAAACCTGGGTCTGAGCTTTTTCGATGCATCTGCGCCCAATCATTGCCCCTTTGCTCCTCCTGCCTTTTCCCCCTCCGCTCCTTCCCTCTCTGGGAGGTTTTCTCTCCTGAGTGTGCATTCTCCTCCATTTCCTCACCAAAAAGTCTTGGTTGGGGCTTCGTGGTGGTCGCCTGCCGCTGGATTGCGATCGGCTGTACCTTCTCCTCAGGCTTTGCCGTCGAGGTCATCGGCCGCTGGATTGCGTTTGGCTGTACCTCCTCCTCAAGCTTTGTCGTCGAGGTCATCAGCCGCTGGATTGCGTTTGGCTGTACCTCCTCCTCCGGCTTTGTCGTCGATTTCAAGCTCTCTTGCACCCTCGCCTTCTTCGGCAGAGATCGCAGAATTACCTGGGCCGTTTCCTCTCTTGCACCCTCGCCTCCTTCGGCAGAGATCGCAGAATTACCTGGGCCGTTTCCTCCATCTTCTCTAGATGGGTGAGAGCTGCAATCAGTTGTGTTCTGGTTTGCATCAGCCATTCTTGCGGAAGTCTTAGTCTTGTCCTCGTTTCCATCGTTGCTAGCCAGTCTTGATTTGTCTCGCAGAGCAGTAGGGTGTGAAGGATAGCGAACACTCCGCAGTTGAAGTTATCTTCCTGTTGGAAGGCTGAGCACCACTGTATCTGCCATGGGGCATTGGTCTGATCGTCAAAGATGTGTTCGATCACTCCGATTGTCAGCTCAGCCATTTCTCTTGCTCCTTTTGCGTGCTCCCCCGTTGTTACAAGATTCCTCGCTCCCTCGATCCCTCGTGGGTCCCTCGTTGTGCTCGTTCTGTCCTCGCAGAGGGGGTCCAAGATGTACGCGCATCGCCGATCATATCTTAATGCAATTAGAATCCAGTGGTTGCTGTGGATGATAGTTGGGAACAGGAAGGTGTGTTGCTCATCTCTCAAACTGCTGAGGTGAAATCTGTTCCCGACTCTCAAGCGGGACGCCTCGTCTCGCAGACTGGATATTACCCTTGGCAAGAAGATGATGTTCCGCGTTTGCTGGTCCTCACGAGCTCTCCCTTTGCGTACCATATGTATTGCTCGTCCTCCTTGAAGAGCCTTGCTCATCTCATTGAGAGTAACTTCGATCATGTTCTCGCATAAAAATCCGCTTACTCCTCGATTGTTCAGGGCAGTGATGCCAAATTCCTTGTCGCCTCGTTTGTCTGACCATGGGATCTCCTCGATCCAATCAAAAAAATACAGTGTTCTATCTACATGTTGCGTTTCCTTTGAAACCGTTTCCATCTCCCCCCCTTGCCTACTCCCGGCACTCCCCCCTTCCTCCTCCCTTCCTCCTCCTGTCATGATTCGGTTTTAGAGTTGAGAGGCAACCTCTCCCTCTTGGTTGCCACTCTCCTCTTCCATCTCCAGTCCCATCTCCTCCTCTGCCTTGCTCAAGAGAAACTCAATTTCGTCTCCCGAGCCAACGCTGCCTTGGTAGGTTAGCGTAGCTGTGAGAACTAATTTATTCAGGGCAAGAAACAACAGGTCAGTTCGAAATTCTTTTTGTTGTTTCTCCCCTCCTCTCCCTGTTGCTTTTGCAAAGGCTCCCTGGCGTCTTCTTGATGCTACCGTCTCCCACGCATGCTGCTCGCTTACTCTTGCAATCTTACTCTTCAAAACTTGCATGTCGTCGTCCTGGGTTGCCGAGGATGATTCCGCCCATTCCTTCAGCGTCGGAAAACATGCATTTCCAGGAGATGACAAGCTGTCGTACAGGCCGACGATGGCTCCATCGAGCCTGAGTTTGCAAGCTTGGTTTTCTGCACTCTGTCCCTGGTTGACAGTCTCCTCCAGAACTTTGTAGATGTCTTCGAGGACCACGTTTGCCTCTGGTTCTGGGATGTTGATCTCATTCTCGATCCGTTCGAGATCTACCTGTGCCCACAGAGGCTCCGTGGGGGGTTCTGTAGCGATCGCTTCCCAAAGGTTGGCACTGCCTGGCTCTAGGAGAAGAAGTTTCCCCGCCCTGTCCCATGGCGCAAAGGACCTGAGTATGTCGATCGCCGTTTCTTTTTCTGAGAAGCTGAGCACTAGATGTTCACCGTTCCAGCTGTTGGTCTCGACATCTTCCTTCGAGGAGATCTTGACGATGTGCTCAGCCGCTGACTCCTTCCAGCTCGCCACGATCCGTCTCAGTCCTCGAATTGTCATGCCCATAGAGAGATCCTCCCCGTCGCAGATCTGTTCAGCTTCCTCTCTTGTGAACCTTCCCTTCTGTGCTTTACTCTTGACCAGCACCTCATAGGTCACTCTTCGTGGTACTGCTCCTAGCGCGTCGGGCAAGAAGTCCAACCTAATTGGATGCTGTCTCGTTACCCTGGTGATTGCACTAACCTGAGTAGTGAACCATTTGAGGATCTTTTCATCTTCCGACATCAGTCCGAGGTGTATGCTTCCTCCATTCCTGTCATCTCCCTCAAACATCCGTAGCGTGGTGCTCAGGACGTCCGTCGAAGAGCATCTCGCAATCCAATCGATCTCTCTTCCTTGTCGTATCTCGTCCACTCCGGCTGCTGCGAAAGTGCGTTTGTTGGGCTGACCTTGAGGTCTCCTCTTCGTCTTGACCTCTAGCTGCATGCCCGCTTCCGGCTGCACCTCCAACACAGCTATTCCTTGTTGCAGCAGGTGTTGACGATAGATCTCCGTAATCCCAGCTGAGTTCATGCCATTCATCTTGAGGAGGTGAGAGAACTCAGCTAGGGCCCCCGCCTTGCCAGAGTGCTTATCCTTCTGTGGCCTTATCTTGAAGGAGCAAGGATGCTTCGAATGCGCGTTCACCGCGCGGATCATCTTTCCGTCGATCCTGAAGTTCGTCTGTCCTTTCCACAGCAGTTCTGCTGCGTCGTTCAATTGGAGTGTTGCCACGACTGGGATTTCATCCACTGTCGGAATCAAATCTTTCTTGATCGGGGCTCTCCACGAGATGCATTTCTTGCCCTGCTCCTCGTGCACCAAGAGTCCTTGATCCTTCAACTTCTCACACAGTACCTCAACTTGTTTTATGTACTGGGTAGGAACTCCGAGGATAGCCATGGTAATCAGTTTACCACTCTCGGGGGACGCTCCTGAAGCATCGATGCAGGCACTCTTGTCTAGTACCTCCTGTTTGTCTGCGTTCCATGCAGAGACATACCACGACTGTCCTTCTTCCCCCCATTCTTTGATGGCATCCTCCTGGCTCCTGACTTCAGCATGTTTGCAGGTCTGTCGAATGGCTTCGGCTAAGGCGTTCATCGAGACTTCCTTGGACTGCAAGGCTCTGCCTGTCCTGCTCTGAGGGTACTGCCTGACGAAGTGTTCCAATCTTCGGATCAGCTCTCCTAGCGAAGGTGCTGAAGGTGTCGTGTCCTTGTTTAGGAACTGGGAAACTCGGACACGAGCAATCTGTTTCCTTTCCTCTTTGGATAGATACCACATGATCAAACAACCGTTTCTGCACAGAAAAATGTCCTGTTCAGCACCCTAGCTCGCAGGGATCCCCTCAAACTGCAGGGGAGGAGAGCATGTCTGTTACTCCAGCGGCCTCCTAAACCCTAAACCCTAAACCCTAAACCCTAAACCCTAAACCCTAAACCCTATTATTATTATTATTATTATTATGTGAGTTTATTAGAATGCTAGAATGTTGCTCGGCCTCGTTGTGGGCTTATGCAATTTGATCCTAGTCTAAAGAGGCGCTCGAGCACTGGGAGTACACGGCCTACAATGCGAACCCTGCTTCTGAGGCGTCTTTCTACTCTCTACTTCTGCTGTCTTCTCTTGGCTTCCTCAGCCTCAGTCAGGAGAGTTGCCTCTCCTCAC